GTCGTGCGCGTCACGTCGCGCTCCCCGACGTGTCGCGTCCGTGTCGTGCGCGTCACGTCGCGCTCCACGACGTGTCGCGTCCGTGTCGTGCGCGTCACGTCGCGCTCCACGACGTGTCGCGTCCGTGTCGTGCGCGTCACGTCGCGCTCCCCGACCTTATATATATATCATTTCATCTTTTTCATCTTGATAAATAAAGTTGATTTGTTTCTAAATTTTCCACCGTTGTTTTCTTTTGCATCCCCTCTCAGCTATACAATACCTCACACAACTAATTTGTCTAACAAGAGCTTCGAAAAGGAGAAAAACTGAAAAGTGGCAAGATGGCGCTACCGCCAATACTCCGCTGTCGTCTGACAAAGTTTTATTGTGATTTAAATAAAAAAAAAACCTTATTGATTATTACAATTGCAATAAATACGAGAACCGAAATACATCGACACCTGGAGAAGAGCAATGTTTTATGTATATCCTGAAAGAACCAAAAGCGATAGTAGCGCCTCTCGTCGGTTCAGATATACTTGTTTGAGTTTATGTCTGTGGTATGTTTGGTGTTAGTGTCGCTTTTGATTGTGCACACATCTACAGGAACCAAGAGGCTTTTGCTTCGCACTGGAAAGAGCGAGGTGTCCATATCATAGCCCTTAATTACAAAGGACAAAAATAAAACTAATATAAACACTATGAATATTTAAATTTATTTCATGAAATGTTTGTGGTCGCGTCGAGGAGGTGCGCGGTGTCAGCGCATGAAGGCGCGGTGTCAGCGCATGAAGGCGCGGTGTCAGCGCATGAAGGCGCGGTGTCGCGGGCCGCGCTGCATGCGCGCTCCGCCCCACCCCATGCCTGCAGCACACAACTAACATTGATGCACTCCGCACTGCGCTGTGTCTCATTTTATGCTGTTTTATGTATAAATAAATCAATAGTTCTTTTCTTTGACTCGAGCATAGATCGAGCATAAAGTTGTGTGCGGTGTAGCGATGCGGCACTCACCCATCATGTACTGGGAGGCGGGCGCGAAGTGTCCGAAGTGCTGGCCGAGCTCCCACGCGCCCCGCCCGCGACTGAGCACACGATACACTGATATACATCCAAGTACATGTTCGAATTCTCACAAAACTTTAGACTCTCCTTCTCTATCAGATCTCTAATAAAGTGAACCTTTAATGTGAAAACAAATCATTACATCGTATATCACATTAACCGGAGTGAGGAGAGCGAGGAGAGTGAGAAGAGGTAGGATGATGAGGATACTCACAGCTGCCGGTAGTGATGATGCGGCGGCGCGGCGCTCGCGAACCTGCCCCGGTCTGTGCCCGCCGCCGCGCGCCGCCCGCCCCCACCCCCGCCCCCGCCC